GGTGTGTGGGGGTGTGAGGGACTTCATATGCTGTTGCTTTTCTTTTTTAAAGAGATTTTTGCCATAAGATGTGTGTGCTCACTGGAGAGGGAGAAACAGAGAGAAAGTGAGAAATCACCCCTCCCCCCCACACCTTCTGGGGGGATGGCCACACTGCCATCCCTTCTCCTCCATTCTCCTCTCGGGATTTTGGCCACACGCGCACACACGTTAAGTGAGTTTCAAGCCTTCAGGTCCAGGATTTAAACCATGGTTAACCATGTGGGAGTCCAGAGCCTTAACCACTATGCTACCTGCTGGCCCCATATGTTGATTCTTTTTAAAAAAATATTTACCAAAGGGCATTTGCACCTACCAGAGAGAGACAGAGAGACAGAGAGAGAAGGGGAAAACACTCCCTTCAGGATGTGGTTATGCTGCTATTCCCTTTCCTCCATCTCTCCATCCTGCTGGGATTTGCACATGCACACACACATGCTTGGCATGTTTCCCAAACCACTGCCATGCGATTGCAAATATTCCAAATGATAGAAGTACAAGCACCATACCATGATAGTTTTTCATTCGGATTGTCATTTCAGGGGACATGAAATATTTAAAATGGTCAGATGCACTTTTGAAAAAGAGCTAGAATAAGAGAAATCGTTCCTAAAAAACATAGCTATTCAAATATCAACTGGCTGGTTCTAATAAAGAGACCCTACCACATAGGAAAACTACAGAAGGACAATTGTTTTTACTCTAATCACTAAAATATGTAATCCTACTGCTGTTTAAGACAAACAAACAAACAAAAAAATCTAGCACTTTCCAGTGTTCATTGTTGTCAGTTTACATGAAATGAAGGGAATTTCTCAACAAGTTATCAACAGAAGAGTTAAGGTAAATGACAATGTTTTAGAAAGGAAGGGTTCTTTGCAGATAGCCAAAAAGCTTGTTTGTGCCTTAATATGAACTGTTATACTGTTGTATAATACAGGGACACACATATGTATGCAACATCCCATTCTAACAGCCACGAAATCAGAGTTCTCAATTTTGCAAATAAAATGAAATTTTACACTTGTATGTTTTGAGCTACAACACGTTAGATGAAACAGAGATGTATTGTAAATCACTCCATTTTAAGTTCACTTATCTTATTAATTCATTTTCTTTGCCTAATAAAAGGAGGTGGTATGAATCCTTATATTGTGATAAATTGTTTTCTCATTCTCATGTTATTTGATTAGGAATATGAACTTCTGGTTCTCATCAAATGAGTCTTTATTACAAAAACAAGAATGTAAATGCATGCTAGTCTCTGTGATTGGGGAATATGTACCAAATACCGACTGTGAACAGTTATAAATATTTATTAGTTGCTGTTATTAAAAAGGACCATTTTTTTTCCTCCCAGAGTTTTTGAGTAAATAATTTCAAAATGTTACTCCATCTGTCAATGTTTTGTGAAAACAGTACAAACCTTCTTTTTTATCTTCTGGAGTAATCTTCACTTTCGTATCGGTTATGTCTTTGAACGACGCCAGAAAAAGTACCACGTCTCCTTTCTCATTCTTTATAGGAACAATATCCAATAGGCACCAAAACGGAGATCCTGCAACAGTAATGAAAATACAATTCAACCATTGCTTCATTCTTTTTTCTATGAAAATCTCAATCATTAATAAAAATAAAGCATTCACTGTTTTCTTCTATCCCACAACTCTCCCTACCCATCTTAAAAATGTCAGTCTTCAGATTCCATAAATTTCTAGCCTGTATAAATATCTCTTCATTCTCAAATGAAATACTTTTTCTAAAATAAGGCAGTATTTTCAACAAAAACACTTTTTTGTTCTGAGATATTTCTGCTGACATCATTCGAAGTGTATTTCTTCTTTGAACTTGTTGACTTGTGGCATTCCACTTTATAAGCGTGCCCCTTCCCACCACACACTTGTTCAAAAATGATGAGTTTTGCTTGGAATGATTTCACTAGAGGTTTGTTTAGTTAATTTAAAATAATTACCATTCATTGGAATGGTTAAAATAAGAAAAATGGGAAATACCAAGTTTGGGCAAATATATATAGCCACTTGGACTCTCATTGCTGGCTGGTTGCAAATTAATGCATCTATTTAAGAAATTTTGTGGCAGTAAAAAGATTTATTCTCATAGTCAACATTATACATCCATGTGAATGAGCAATGTACAATAATTCACAAGTAAATGGACAAATATCATAAATATAATGTTGTCCAAAAGTAGCCAGACACAACTAAGTTGAATGTATTATGACTTCATTTATATCAAATCCAAAAAAGTAAGACAAAACTCATCGCTGGTGTTAAAAATCAAGTTATGGGGCCAGAAGTTAGCATAATGGTTATGTCGCTGGACTCCCATGTAGTCAACTGTGGTTTGAGTCCTGGACCCGGTGACATAAACTCACATCAGGCGCGTGTGCATGCATGCCCAAGATCCTGCGAGGAGAATGGAGGAGAAAGGATTGTGGCATGGCCATTCCCCCTGGGGGATGATTTCTTGCTTTCTTTCTCTCTGTCTCTGTCTTTCTGGCGAGCACATGCACCTTATAGCAAAAACCTCTCAAAAATTATTAATTGACTATAAATTGTTAACTGTAAATCATTCATTATTTATGTGAAAACACACCATTTTCCTTTATTTTCTTTTGATGAGGAAGAAAGGCCTTAATATTGTAAACTTCCATCTCACTTGGCAGTTGACTCAAAGTTAAGATACAAGACAAAAATAGCAGAGTCCGAAATCTCCTTATATTTTGACTCAGCTGGTATATACCATACTAGATCTCAGGATTTCCAATGTGACTGATAGATCCTTCCAGCCTTGAGATCTATCATTTTTTTTCTTCATCTGAGTATCAGATAAAGCATTTGATTTTGTATTTAGGACTAAACCAACATGGAAAGCATATTTTATAATACTAATATTTTATTTTTTGAAAAGTGTGGTTGACTTTACATGCAATAAATATATGTATTTTGCATTGCTATCGTAAAGTATGTGCAGAATATACAAAGAATGCTTTGAACATACAAACTAGGCCTGGTCCTCTATATTTTCCCAATGGTTTGAGTGCCCATTTCTTTCTCCTTTTGACTCAGACCTAAGGCTTCCCCTTTCGCTCATGTTCCCCAATGTCCATCCTATGGCAACCCCATCACCAAGCTCCTGGGAGCCAACATTAACTAGCCATGAGACCGTGGGTAAGTCAGTAATTTGCTCTGGAACTTAGTTTTCTCCATTACAACGTGATTATGTCCAACCACCCAGCAGTGGCTATGGCAAACAGAAACATGATGAGACAGTAAACCAACTCTATTGTCTGTGAACAAGGGAGAACCCTCATAATTGAATCACACTGCTGACCAAACCCTACTCTCCCATAATTTCAGAGTGCCTCTTATTTCAAATTTTACCTGGATCCATTATTTTAATTTGGGATCTTTTTTCAGTAATGTAGTAGCCATAGGAGAAAGAGAAATAGCCTTTAGGCCACACTAACAATCAGATTCTAGAGAAAGGAATAGTGAGGACAGAGCAAATGGTATGAGCCTGAGCTTTTTGTTCATATCTGAAAGCAACTCTCTGTCAATTGCCTTGCAAGAACATCACCAAGTTATAACAAAGATTATTAATTTTTTTGAAAATCTCCTTTCTCCACATACTCAGGCACCATTATTGTCTCCACAGAGCCTGTGCCCAGGTACACTAATGTCTTCTGGGAAGAGGCAAAAGCACACAATGATAAAGCTAAGGAAATAGCTGCCACCATGGCAATGCTCTCCAAGCAGCCTCTGAGACACAGCCATCATTCCACACTATGCTCTAGAAGAGTTGAAAGTTTACGTTGAAATTTGTCTTTGAGATCAGATCTCATTGTATTCTAAAAGGTTACAGATTACATTGTAATGTAAAGGCAGAGACAGAGATTTTATAAATTCAATAAAACTTCCTTAATAGGGGTCTGTCTGAATTTGAGTTTTGTAATGAATAGCATGAGCTAGGTTGCTGTCTACCTTTCTAGTACCGACATAAAAAAGTGTATTAAGAAAACAGCTTCTTCCTCCCTTCCCTCCACCCCTCTCCCAGATTTAGCCATACTAACTGCCTTCCAAATAGATCTTTGAGTACCTTTAAAATTAGAAAGCAAAGCATAGACCAATGCTCTTTATTCTAGAAGGAAAGGATCGATGTCAAACGTTATCGATCAGGTTCAAAGCAAGACTCTTCACATTTAGTTTGGTCACCTCTCTTCCCCTTCTCTCTCTCCACCATGCTCTCTGTCCTGGCCTTCTGACAGGATCTTCCACCTTGCATGTGTGCCACAATGCAAGGCAGTGCCCTAGGGTCTGGCTTGTCCACTCTTACCCACATGTGCAATGGTGAGCAACCTCTTTCAGTCGAGATCAATTCAGGCCCAGGGCAATAAATCTCTCTTAAAGTCGAGGCTGAATGCACCGTTTCCCTCCACCTCAAATTCAGAGATGTGCATGATTCTTCAGGGTAAGGTTAGAGGGCAGAAAGCTCGTGTTGGTTTTAACTCCTTCTGTATATATAGCAGCAATAATTACCATGTGGGTTGGCAGTGCCAACACAGATGCAGCTCTGTCAGGGTTTAAGTTAATAACACCTTTAATTTCCATAGATAAATACACCGGATGGAGAGAAAACAGGGTTTACACCTTATATGGTAAAATGTATGTTTGGAATTGAATGAATAGTTACACAAGAGTATGGTGGAATGTCCCACGTCTCTATTTTGGGGCTTTCTTTTCCTTGATTTGGAAATAGAGGTGAAGGAACGCTTGACTTGCTGATATTTGTAATCGTAAGAGTACCCACATGCTTAAGAGATTACATTTGGCAAAAGGCAAAACCTAATGATAAAGTTGAATAACAACATGACAAGGTACAGATACAAAAGAAAATTTAGCCCTACTTTCTTTAATGAAAGTGCTGTCATGGTAAAAATGGTTGTGTTGCACAGTATAACAGAATAGCTCAAAGCAAGATATGGACACCTTGTAAGTATCCATTTTTTTATTTTATATTGAGAAGGATTTTGGATGAAAAATACATGTCATCTTTATTTTTTAAAATTATGACAATAATAATGTAATATAATATGCTGAGAGTTGACCAGATCATGTGACTTAAACATTTTTAGGTGCCCCTGATATTTCACATTAAGTCTTATTCTTCACAATCATTGTTCAATGCAGCTTAATGATATACTGGTAGGTTGGCCAGATTTAGAAATTAGCCCACGGGACATATAATTGGGAATGAGGAGGAAAAGGGCTGCAGGTGAGTAAATCTTAGGTGGGTAATGGGACACTCCTTCTTAGCATAAAGAGTGGGGACAGTCACGAGAGTCCTACTGAACCTGCTCCGAGCTCCTGGTTGCCTTCCTCTTTCTCACAGTAATTGCTGCCTTGTACTGGCTTCACCGTGTCTCACCCACTCGTCTTCCTCCCATGCTACTGCTAATATGCCTTGAAAACACAGCTCTTGATACAAAACACTCATGGCTCTTCACTGCTTGCTGAAATCACTGGCACAATATCTCAGATTGATCACTAGAAAAGGCCTATTATTTATTTATTTTTTTTTGGGGGGGAGAGGTTTTTGCTATAGGGCATGTGTGCTCACCAGAAAGACAGAGAGATAGAAAGCGAGAAATAACCCCCCTCCCAGGGAAGATGGCCACACCGCAATCCCTTCTCCTCTATTCTCCTCTCGGGATCTTGGGTATGCATGCACACGTGCCGGTGTGAGTTTTAAGTCACCTGGTCTGGGACTTGAACTGCATTCAACTACATGGGAGTCCAGCGACTGCTGGTCCCAGAAAAGGCCTATTTTCAAGGGACTGGAAAGAAAAGAAGTGTGATGGGTAGTGTAAAGAAGTGAACTAAAAGAAGTATCACGTTAGGACCAGCAGTTAGCTCAGTAAATCATTTACTGGAAGATCGACAAATAGAACTATTACTTGCTTTAAGAAAACCAAATTGGTTCAGATGATAAACATAGATTATTCTCACTACAGCTGAAAGGATTTTTCATGTACAGTTAGTGGCAAATTCAGCTGGGATAGGTTTAGTACAAAAACCAGCACAATTGAGTATGGTTCAATGTGAAATAGAGAAAAAGAGGTCCTGAAAATGACAATGCACACAGCGAGGACCTAGTGATAGTTGTCACGTAGTAAGTGACAGATGCCTTGCATCCATTACATCTAGACCAGTATTTTAGTGCACTGACTGAACTAACTCTTACAGTCCTGGAAATTGAGATGTGCAGTGTTTTCTTCAAGGTCACAGCTAATAAGTGTCAAAGTCTGACATTTAAACACAAATCTGAGTTTTCTATTTTCTTTTTAAATTTTACCAAAGGGCATGTGTGCTCCCTGGAGACAAAAGGAAAGAGAGAGGGGGGGAGAGAGAGAGAGGAAGAAAGCAACCCCTCCGTGGAGTGTGCTCACGCTGCAATCCCTTTTCCTCCATTGCTCCCTCCTTTTGAGATTTTGGGCATGCTCACACATGCACCTCCTGTGTTTTCAAGCCATCAGGT